CACATCTTTTGTACGATCTGAATCTTCGAAACACATGTCAACTTTCAAGAAAGATTTGGGGTGAAGAAATAGAAGGACTCAGCATTTGATATTCACTATATTTGTCCTTTGTTCTTCCTTTGTACTTACTTGTTTCTTGTCCCCAAAAGATTATAATTTCTCATTGCCTCTTTTCCATGAAACTTGTCAAATTTGATTCATTGTCATTGTATATATTCACCAAATTATTGATTATTATGCCTTACTCGGAAAAGTGTTAGAGTATGGGGATTTTGAAACAGGTGTTCACCAGAGAACACATGCAAAGACAAGCTCCCATAAATCATTAAGCAAACCATTGAAAAAATGGTTCAGATTAAAGAAATCAGTTTCAACATAACCATACTTTTCCCAAGCAAAGAAGTCCCAATTTAAAGGCACGCAACAAGGAGAGGCCATTCTGAATGAATTTTCTCTGAAAAATCAATCAATGACCAAAGAATCAAAGAGGCAAGATAAACTCTCTCGAGGTAGATCAGAGGGACCAAGTCAAAGGATATTTAATGAGAGGTCAAGAAAGTAACCAGGCATGGACAAACGCATAAATCTCGCATATTCCGATCAAGGAGCAGGGGAGATTCCCAATGCTAGGATCGAGCTGAGCATAACCCTTTAAACATGCATTTAGATCATTCTTAGAGCATATTGACAGCATGAAATCATGTCATATGACCATTTTTTTTACAGGGTTTTCAAGATCTATTTCATTAGCAAAGCAATGAATCAGTCAACATCAGCTGACCAGATCTCCTCATCACGTAGGAGCAACGTCAACATTAGATAACCAGCCGTCCTCATTACGTAGGAACTATGTTATCACTATAAAATGGCCAAGAACTCTTCATCACGTAGGAGCAGTGTCATCCCCTGACTAGATATCCTCATCACGTAGGAGTCGTGTCACCCTTAGATAACCAGCCGTCCTCATCGCGTAGGAACCGAGTTATCACCCTTCCTAAAGATGGCCAAGAACTCTTCATCACGCATGAGTCGTGTCATCCTTCGACCAGATTTCCTCATCACGTATGAACCGTGTCACCCTTAGACGACCCGAACTCTTCATCACGTATGAGCAGTGTCGTCCCCAACAACCAACATTATTCAATTTCTAAGTTTGAAAGGGAGAACCAGACAAAAACGTGTTGGCTTGTCGTCTTTGCACTGTTCTTGTTAACACAAGTATGTGCAAAGAGGGGCAGCTGTAGACACCCGATTTTGTCCGGGTCTTTTATATTTTTTTTTATTATTCTTTATTATTATTAATTATTATTAACTATTATTATTAATTTTACATATTACATTTTTGCAGGCTTAGAAGCCCAATTCAGATTACAAAGGCCCAATCCCGGAGCCCAACAACCCAGACCTGCGGCCCAGCAATCGGCCCAAACCCGCTAGGGTTACCCCTTCTCTGCCTCAGCGCCGCACCATCAAGACCGTCTGATCTGGACCCATCCAATGGTCCAGATCAAAGGCCATTTAGGTCTGAAACCCTAACCCTTGTTCTGAGCCCTAACAGCTCAGCCACCGCCACAGCCGTTTGGCCTTCCATCTCCCAGCCGTGCTTGAGGTGTCGATGGTGAATCCCGAGCCGGTCGTCATCAGCAATCTGGTCACACAGTGAAGCAAATGTCATCAACAGTGTATCAAACTTACCCCAAATCTAAAAACCCATTAAAATAACACCCCAAAATCCCGAAAAATCTGGACTTTATCCACCCAAATCAGAGAAATCAAATCCTATCTACCTAGATATCATCATCATATCACCAAATACTCAGCATAAATCAAGGGAACGAAACCAAAAAAAAAAAGAAGAGGAAACGAAAAGAAAAAGACAGAGAGAGATTCGAAACAGAAAAGAAAAAAAAAGGAGAGGCATCTTACCTTTAGAGAGAGATCCGAGCGTTGTATCCTCGCCGGAGTGAAAAGGAGCCACTACCGAAGGTAAAACAACCTCTCTTTTCCTAGATCTAGTTTTTCTTAGGGGTGGGTTTTCGTTTGATTTTTGGTTGGTTAAGGTCTGGGAGAGGAAGTAGAGTGGTTAAGGTTGTGGTGCTCCCCGTGGCCACCGACTTACGGTGGCCGGGGAGCCGCGTTGTTCTCGTGAGGAGAAACGAGGAAGAAGGGAAAGGGAGAGGAGAACGAGTGAGGCGGCTGAGGGAGTTGGGGAATGAAAATCAGGTTTTTCAAAACCCTTAAGATGGTATAATCACCGAGTGAAACGGTATCGTTTAAGGGGCTTGGGGGTCTGCGTGTTTTTACATTTAGGGTTAATCACAGTTTAGGTCCCTCAAGCTTTTGTAAGGGTTGTGATCTGGTCACTAAATGAAATCCATGCAATCTTATTTCGAGCCTATAGTTTTATTTTGTTTTATTTGAATCACTAGTTTATATATTATGTATGTTTTATGATCTTCGAATTTGGACCTGTGATTTATGTTTTTTTTCATTTTAGTCACTGTGCTGGTGTGTTATTTATTTTTGTTAATGTTTTAAATTTGTCCATGACATTTGTGTACATTTTATTCTAGTCACTAATTAGCCTATGGTTTAATTACATTGTAAGGGTCCCCGTGTTTTGTAAGTTGTTTAAGGGCTTAATGTATTTTATTTATTCTGTAATTCAAGCCCTATATTTTTAAAGTTTACGCATTGGTCACTGGACTGGTTATTGTTAATATTTTTGAAAGTTTAGACATTGTACTCTTTATTTATGAAACTTTTATCTTGATCACTACTCTCATATTTTGGGTTAAATATCGATTAATGTCTGTTTATTTTACTTTCATTATATTTTAGTCCTTATCTGGTTTATTATTACATTTTTATTAGAGTTCGAATTTGGCCATATTATTTTATGCATGTTTCGTTTTAGTCACTGTTTAACATTTGGCTTAATTGTGGTTTAGTTCTTTATGTTTTTTTTCATTTCATTTTGGTCCCTAATATGATTTATGGTTTATTTTTTTACTGTTTTTTTAAAATATTTGTTAATTATATTTTAGCCCCTTAAATGTTTTAATATTTATTTTGGTCTGTAATATTTACTAATTTGTATTTTAGTCATTTATGTATGGATGTGCATTTTACTCATTAGTTAATTATTGGTATTGTGTTTACTTTAATTTAATGTAAATCTTTGTATTTCCAATCACATTTATTTTCATTATATTATCTATGTAAGAAATATTCGATTATATTTTCAAGAACACGTATGCGTAGAATGGGCGTGGAAAGTACCACTTGGTCGAAGTGGTACGATCCGATACGGCATTTTAACGACATAGGGACTTGTAACAAGTCGAGTATATTTTACTAATTAATTTATTAAAATGATGTAATGTGTGGTACCTTAAGTGACGCTCACTTTATTTTATGTGAATGTAAATTTTAAATTTTCATTTTATATTCGATACACGTTTTTAAATAAATGATGAGAGAATATTCTTTAAAAGATAAGAAATAGACGAGTTAACTTTCCCGACGGAGGATTGTTAATCTCGAGATTTCTTTTCAAATTAAAGAATTTTCTCTGATAAAATAATTCGAAGTAAATTAATTAAATCTCAATAAACGAATCATATTTTAGTTTTATATTCAATTTGTAATTTCCACCATTTACGACGATGTGTAAGCTACACAGTACCAATTTTGGGCGTTGTGGGGGTGTTTACCCTTCCCCACACGTAACCGACTCCCGAACCTGTTTTAAATGAATCTTTGGTAACGTAGACCAAATTTTTGTCTTATAAAATTATTTTTCTTAAAATTGTTTTTAAAAGACGTTTTTAGGTATTTGACCTACCTAACCCAAAGATCGATGGCGACTCTTTTCAATTTTATTCAAATCCATTCAAAATCACCAAATTTTCCAAATTAAAGTCATAATTGTTTTTAAAAATAATATTTAATTGTTTTACAAAAAAAATGGTTATGACAAAGCCATAATTGGCCTTGCATCTAACTAAGAATTCCCATCTTCATCTGCAAGATGCTGATTAAGCTCAATTATATCTTCAAGTTAAGCTTTTAATTGGAGATGATCATTTCAAGGCTCAACTATTTCTAATCACTCCTACAATACCTTCATATACATCATATAATTATAAACTAATTTCTCAGGACTTTTCTACACCGTGCAACAAATATCTAACCTCATGATTAACCGTCCTTCTAAAGAAAGCAACCAGTCACTCAATCTTAGATGCTTCTAAATTTCTCTAAATATAAATATTTATTTCCAAGGATTTTGGCTTCAAAAAGGTGGCTAATAACCATGAAGGAACATCAGACACAATTATAGCCTTGCATGATTTGATCAATACCGCGATCATCAGAAGAAAAAAAAACTAGATATTGATCTATATAACAAATGATAAACAATCATCATTTCATCTTTGCTGCCAATGGAGGATGTTATAGGCAAACTGGTAGAATCATCTGTTTACAACTCTATGTCTTTACCACCTTATTCTGTTTCCGGGATTCGACCAGAAGATAGATAAGGACCTATACTGTTAATCAACAGTTTTATAAAAATAAATAAATAATGAGCTGAGGTTTAATTTTTCCTTGAGGCATCTAAAAGATTACTATTTTCTTTTCTTTTCGTTTATAGTTCATTTCATCTGGAAACTGTCGAAATAAAGATATGACAGGACGTGAACTTCAACACCAGAAATTGATATGAAGCACGAAGTTTCCATGAACTTGCATACCCACAAATAGTACAAACACAAAAGACCCAAAATTTGGATTAAAAATCACTAGGTATGGGACCCAAATAGCTGAAGAAATACATGAGTAACATCAAGTGCCCACAACAACAAAAACAAAGCAAGAACAAAAATGAGGAATGAACTAAACCCCCCAGAAAACAGAAAGAACACAGCCAACAAAAATCAAAATTAGCAGTAAAAAAAATAAAGTACTAATGAATTTGAAGAAAGGTCTGTTACCTGAGGCTCAGCGAACTTGATTCCTTGGCAGGAAGCTAGGCCAGCAAGATCATGCTCCATGTACTCAAAAACTAAGTAAAGACTACAAGACATTCTTGAAGTAACTAAGCCTTCAAGCTTGATCACATTGGGATGGTCAAGCTTCCTTAAAACAAGAATCTCTCTGGCCATGAACTTTACACTTTCTGGCTCCAAATTGTCAAACCTAACCTTCTTTAGTGCCACTATTTTCCCTGTTAGTAGATCCCTGGCTTTGTATACATTACTGTAAGTCCCTTGCCCAATCTTTAAACCCAAAAAACACAAACTTATTAAAATGAAAACATTCATTAAAAAAAAACAAAATTCAAGTTTTTTCATTAAGTTGATGAGCTGATACCTTGTCCAGCTTCTGGAAGGTGTTGGCTCGTCTAGGGGTCCAATCACGGATGGCCTCACCAGAAACGGCCATCAACCACGAAGGCCACCCTTTCTGGTTCACCTCAGGTGTCACCCGACGTCTCTCCGGCGCCGGAACGGTAACCGAAAAATCACCGGTATGTCTAGCTTTACGCTGCGGTTGGCTTTGTCCCCTCTGGTTTTTGACACCCAAGACCCCGTCAACGGCATCGTTGACGGACACAACCGATGATAACTGGTCGGAGCTCCGTCGACAACGAGTACGTAAATGATGCGGTGGTGCTTCACTGTTTCTCCGACGCCGGTGATCCGACAACGAAGATTGTGATTGCTTTCCGAAAACGCAACCCATTCACTCAAACCAAATGCATGGGGAATAATGTACTCCGATAAACGGAAACCCAACAGCGGCGTTTTAGCTACACAACAGTTCACCCCACGGTTAAACGTCAACGTTTCGAGGAGTGAGAACAATTAACGGCGTTCCAAGTTTGAACTTTCAGGCGATTTTGAGATAGAGAGAGATGACCGAGTGGAGAAGGTAAGCTTTAGCTTAAGAAGCTGTGATAGTGAGGCAAGTGTGAAATGAGTTTTGATTTTCATTCCATTCAATTTAATTTAAAAGATAAGTTATTTATTTATTTATTTACTTTGGGCTTTGATATAGGGCAGAACTTTACAACAACTAGGGAATTGCCATGGTAAAACGATGATGTCATGTGTTTAAAAAGGGCGTTTTTCTCGAAATATCACTTATATCCTATAATTTTTTCTGTCAGACACACGTCTCTAAAGGGTGCTTTATGCTGATATGATGCCACGTGGCGTAAGATGCGCCTTCTACAATGCGCTTTACGCTGACATGGACACACGTGTCTAAAGCGCGACCCTTGGGGTGCGCCTTACGCCACGTAGGGCTATAGCGCGGGTCAGGGGCTACGTTTTTCAATTATTACATGCTCAATTATCAGACATGCATAATGCAAGGCGTGGTGCAGGGACCGCGTCTTGCATTATTTACCCGGACCTCTCGGCTTTAAAGCATCCTCTCTCGGCTATAAATAACCCTCTGCCCGTAAACTCTCTCACAATTCCCTCTCAACCAAGAAATTAATACAACAACCTTTCAACCAGTAAATAACACCCAACAATCATCTTATATTTAATTCAGAAGTTCGTTCGATCTTTCGTTATAAGGTAACTTTGTTATAATATTTTTTATTATACTTATTGTTTATTTTGATTATTTGAAAAAATATTATAGTAATTGTTTTCAATTAATTTTTGTGCCAATTTAAGGGGAAAGTATGAGCATACGTCGAAATATTTTTGCGGTGCAGGTAATAATATAAAATTATATTATTTAAATTTTTTACGTTTATGTGTAAAAATTTTATTGTGTTATATTTTCATTCATATATTATTTATTTAATCAGGTTTGTTTCAGTTGTTTTTTTGCAGATATAATATTGTCGCACTTTTAAACTCTAAGAATGGTGCGACTTTCAACTATTGTTTATTATGATGGAGAAATTCGAGAAGATGAAACCGATATTGTTTTCGTATCAAATGAGCGTGTTAAAATATCATTCAAGAGAAACATAACTCTTGAGGAGCTGATAACAAAAATTTCGAGGAAGGTTCATGTTGGAAGTAGTAGAAGAATGTCGTCGTTACAGTACAGATTTCCAACATCATTGTTGTCATTAACTTATACAGCGTTCGAACTATCGAACAATGATGATGTTGAAATGATGGTTGATTCTCAAAGTAATTATTCAGACGGCGATATTGAGATGTATGCAAAGTTTGTTCAAGTGCGTGTTGTTCGGGGTCAGTCATTAAGCTCCCACTATGGGTTGGTTGAACAAGTTGATCAAGTTGATAGCCTGACTACAGTAAAGTGTAATGATTTTAACGCCATAATGGGAAATCCACACCATGGTAATGTCACATCAACTTCAATGGGGAGACATTCATCCGCAACTCCTTACGATATGTATCGAGGTGGGTCCACGAACAATCCGTATGGCAACATCGCGTACAATTCAAGGGGAAAACATTCATCTGCAAGTTTCTTTGACCTTAATATGGAGATGCCATCGACGCAACAATCTGTGCAATTTCTATTTGACATGATGGCTTCAAGCTCCAGGGGGAGGCATTCCACTACGAGATTTTTCGATCTCAATGTCGATATGCCTTCTAGTTCAAGGGGAAGACGTACAAATAGTAGGTTCTTCGACCTAAATGTGGAGAGCATGGAGGAACCATCATCTCCACCAGAAGAACCGCTTCGTGAGCCTGGTGCGGATGGTGCTGAGACTGGACTATTCATTCACCCAGAATCACCGCAATTCAACTCCGATGATGATGATAATGTAGATAAAGTTCCATTAAATTTGGCACAAACTGACCCTCCAGAACACATGTATGAAGCTGATTATGGTGCAATGTACGGGCCAGAATTTGCGGATATGCCTCATCTCAGTAACTATGGATATTACTCATCAATAAATAATGGTGAGTTATCTGTAGGCATGGAGTTTTCAAGCAAATAAAAAGCGATGTTGGCTATAAAAAATTACAATATCCGTAATTCTGTTCAATAGAGAGTCGACCGCTCCACGACAGAAAAATATGTATGCTACTGTGCCCGATGCGAAAATGGATGCAATTGGATGGTTCGCATATCGAAGAGGAAGAGGAAAAACAACAGATGGGAACTAACAGTATACAACGGTCATCACACATGTTGTGCTGGAGGGGTCAACCAAAATCATCCTAACTTGGACTCTGAAGTGATATACCAAGCCATCATGCCCATGGTAAAAACAAGCTCTCATATAGTTGTTGCTGTGTTGATTTCAGCTATACAATCGCAGTATGGGTACACTGCCTCCTATAAAAAAGCTTGGTTGGCAAAACAAAATGTCATTATCAAACTTCATGGCGAATGAGATTTGGTGTGATGAAAGTGATTGAGAATGGGGGTATTTATAGGGAGGGGTGAGGTATGAATGGTCGGGGTAGGGGTAATTAAACCTAAGGCACGCCGTGGTGCCAGATCAACGTAAAGCGCGCTGCAGGGGGCGCACCTTACCCCACGTGGCACCATATCAGCGTAAAACGCACTGCAGGGGGCGCGCCTTACTGTAAAGGGTGTTAGATCGGGAAAAGTAGTCTGACGGGTGCCTGACAGGGAATATTATAGGGTATAGGTGATATTTAGGAAAAACGCCTTTAAAAAGTCAAAATAAAATAAATTTCAATGGAAAGAATAAGAAGAAAGATTTTTCTTTTTAGGTTCAAATTATAAATTATTGCATTAAGCAAAAAAAAGTCATTTTTTAAGTTTGAAAAGGGTATGAAAAGGTTTTTATTTTTCTTATTTTATTTTTATAAATATTGTTGAAATAGAGAGAAGAGTAATGAGAAACAATGGCTTAAGTTTTCCATTGATTAAGAGTGAATATATATACACAAAATTGGACACATAGAAATAGGAAACTAGCCTAGAGTTAGGGGATTACAACTAATTACAAGGCATAGAAATAGGAGATTAGCCTAGAGTTAGGGGATTACAACTAATTACAAGAATATTATAATTGATTACAATAATTTAAAATATAGATAAAATCTATTATAATTAATTCTCTAATATGCCCCCTCAAGATGGAGCTCCGGAGGAGACACCAATCTTGACCCTTAAATCTTGGAATCGGCTTCGTGGAAGCGGTTTGGTAAGAGCGTCGGCAAGTTGATCTGCTGAGGAAACATGAGTAACACGAAGAGAACCTGATTGAACTTGACCCCGAATAAAGTGATAGTCAAGTGCCACATGTTTCATGCGCGAATGAAAGACTGGATTAGAGCAGAGATAGGTGGCACCAACATTGTCGCAGTAGATAACAGGCGGTGTAGAAAGAGTGATGCCAAGTTCTGTGAGAAGGGAACAAATCCAATTGAGTTCAGAAGTAGTAGCGGCAACTGATCGATACTCAGCCTCCGTGGAGGATCGAGCAACTGTACGTTGTTTCTTGGATGACCAAGAAATAGGATGACGACCAAGATAGACAATATAGGCACTCGTTGAGGTATAATCATCTTTGTTTCCAGCCCAATCAGCATCTGAGAATGCATGAAGGGAAAGTGGATTTGCCTTGTGAAGGAATAATCCATGAGTTAATGTGCCACATAGATATCGAAGCAGTCGTTTTGCAGCATTCCAATGTTCAGACGTCGGGCGATGCATGAATTGAGAAAGCTTGTTGACAGCATATGCTATGTCTGGGCGAGTGAGGCAAAGATACTGTAGACTGCCAACAATTGTTCTATATTCTGTGCAGTCAGTTAGAGCTGTACCTGAATGAAGTGTAAGATTTCCATCTGTAACAAGTGGTGTAGCAACAGGTTTTGCACCAATCATTTTTGTCCGGGCAAGAAGATCAGTGATGTAGCGCCTTTGAGTAAGCAGCAGACCGGATGGAGTAGTTAGAACCTCAATGCCGAGAAAATAAGACAATGTGCCAAGATCCTTGATTGAAAATCTTTGTGCCATGAGGTCAATGTAGCGCTGAATAATATTGGTGTTGGTGCCTGTGATAATAATGTCATCCACATAAACAAGTAGATATATAGTAGTGTCACCTGAGTGAAGAATGAATAGAGAAGTGTCTGCTTGAGAGTTTGTGAACCCAGACTCAATGAGGAATTGGTGAAGTTCAAGGTACCAAGCCCGTGGGGCCTGCTTGAGTCCATATATTGCCTTCTTTAGTTTGCATACATGTGTTGGATTGTCTTTATCAACAAATCCTGGAGGCTGGGCCATGTAGACATCTTCGGAAAGATGGCCCTGAAGAAAGGCATTATTAACATCCAATTGTCGCAATTGCCAACCTCTACTGACTGCCAGGCTTAGAACAAGTCGTATTGTTGTCGGCTTGACAACCGGACTAAAAGTGTCATGATAATCCACTCCAGGTATTTGATGAAAGCCTTTGGCAACTAATCTAGCTTTGTACCTGTCAATAGAACCATTAGGAAGCCGTTTAATACGAAAGACCTACTTACATCCAACAAGATTCTGCAGAGAAGTAGATGGAACAAGCTCCCAAGTTCCATTCCGAACAAGAGCATCAAACTCATCATTCATAGCTTGTCTCCATTTGGGATCTTTTAGGGCTTGAGAAACAGTATGAGGCTCAATGTCTGATGGTTGAGAAATGATAGCAGTGAGGTTTATTTTGGTTAGGGGTTTATGGATGTTGTTTTTCGATCTAGTGGTCATGGGATGGGTATTTGATGGGTGGGTTGCGCTATGATTGAAGCAGAAGAGGTCTCAGAATTGTGTGGTTCTAGTGGTAAATGGTCGACGATGGTTTCTTGGCGATTAACCGAGCTGTGTTCGGGTAAAGGGAGGTCTATGGATAGGGATCGACGGTCGACTGATGAGGAAGGGCAGTGGTCTGTTT